GGCTTGCGCACGACCTCTCGGGCGAGAAGGCCAAGGTGGGCGCTCGCCGACGCCATTGACTTAGCGCTCCTATTCGCGTCTTTGTCCTCCATTCCACTAACTCTTCTGGCGTGACACATGCTAGGTGCTCGCGGGCGGTCCCGAGAGCCCAGAACCGAAGTACGCGGCTGAGGGCGACGCCGCCCTGAGGTTCGCGGGTCCCGTGGAGGACAAGGACGCCGCTGTGGCCGCAACGAGCAAGGGCCGCAACATCGCCGCGGACATGTGCCGCTCGCTCAACGACTTCTTTGAGCCGCAGGGTGTGCAGATTACCGACGTCAATATCACCGACGTACAGCTGCCAAAGACCATCGTCGCGCAGATGGCAGAGAAGACGGCGGTGATTGCGCAAAATGCCGCACAAAAGATGAACCAGGAGTTCGAGATGCTGACGCTAAAGCAGGACGAGGAGATCGCCACGCTGAAGCAGCGCAAGAAGGAAGAGCGCGAAAAGGAGCAGCAGACCGGCGACCAGAAGGTTAACGAGGTGCAAGTGCAGCTCGACAAGATGAAGACCGAGACAAAGGTCAAGCTAGCCAAGATCAAGGAGGAGTCGCTCATCAAGATCCAAGATATAAACGCGGAGGGTGAGCTCGCGACCACGAAGCTGCAGCAGGACAAGGATGCGGTGCTCATGACGAAGCGTGCCACCGCCCAGCGCGACGCGGGGCAGCTGCGGGCGGAGACGGAGAAATTCGTGCAGCAGCAGGAGTCGGAGGCGAACCTGGAAGCGCAGAGGAACACTGCGAGGGCATCGGAGCTTATGGCTAAGGCGGAGGGGACAGCCGCTCCGTACGTCGAGGCACGCAAGCAGTTCGAGACGACCCAGAAGCGGATGAATGTGTGGGAGGCGCTCGCGGGGAACAAGGACCTGATCGTGTCCGGCGAGACGGACCCGGAGCTCAACGCGCTGATGCTCTCAGACGCGATCCTCGACTCCAAGGTTGCCAGCCAGACCACAAAATCGCAGCTCCTCGCGGAGATGCTTGTCCTCCAGCGTGGGTCCAAGGTGATGCTCAACATGGGGACTGGCGGGGGGGACTGAGTCGGGTCGGCGAGCGGGTGAGGATGTGTTGGGGGCCACACGCATGTGAGTTGGGGACCACACACTCGAGGGTTGCACGGGAAAGGAAGAGGAAGAGGAGACAGAGGCAGATTTCGAGCTTTCCCGTGACTATCTATATATGTATAGAAAGGAGAGGGCAAAGATTTCGTCAGGGAGGGGGAACTGGAAACGAATCGGAAACGAATCGGAACCCGGAAACGCATATATGAGCAAGACATCGAATATAGGAAAACGAGATGGACACGGACGTCCTATCGTATGCGCTAGAAACAATCGCGGATCGTGTCACATCGTGTGTAGCACCCGCGGGGCCGTGCCAGGTGCCACTCACACCACCGCCCCGGCCGCCCCGCCTGTGACCCGCCCCCCCGACCCCCGCCCCGATCCCCGCGGTGTTGCACTGTTGCACTGGGACAGGGTCGATTCCGCATGGTACGGGACCCCTCGATCGTCTCACCCCCCCTCACTGGTGTGTGTTTCAGGCATCACCATCACAGGGGGAGGGGGGGGGGGAGGGGTCATGACAAACACGGTCCAGGATTATCGAGGTGCGCGCCGCCGAGGGATCTCGGAGGGTAGATCAGGGCGGTGTCGTCCCCCCTCTCTCCATTCATCTCCTCGGAGATGTCGTCGGTGGTGGCGGTTGTGACCGATCTAGCTACAAGAGTATTTTTGTTCAGCATGATGTTTGTTATGACCCCCCACACGGTGCGGGACCCCTCGATCGTCTCGCCCTCCCTCGCTGGCTGGTGTGCTCATCGGGGGGGGGGGGGGGGGGGGCATAACAAACACGGGTGAGCTGAGCAGTTCTCACTTCCTCAAAGGGTGAGCTTCAGACCTCAGCGCTCAGGCAAATCATCCCCTTCACCTTCGGCTTGCGTGGATTCGAACCACCGCCGGGATGGAAGCTTCCTTTTTCCTGCTTCCATGTTCCATCTGTGATCTGAAGATGTTGCCATTTTCCTCAAAGTAGAACTCGAGCGAGATGTTCAGCCGCCGCCCGCACGTCGCCCCCCGCACGCTGCCGGATGCGGATCCAATATTGGTTGGGGACCCATAGCATCACGCCCTTGGTTGGCCCGAGTGCGAGGTAATAATCCTGCGGGTGCCAATTCCCGTATTATTTATTATATGAGACCCCGAGTAAGGCGAGACGATCGGGGGGGTACCAGAAGGAACGACCCGGAGATGCGAAGAAGAAGATGAAAAATAGAGGCAAATGTACGTATTGCAATAAGAGCTACGACACTGAAAAGTTCCCGCCGGCAAAACTACGTGCCCGCCTCGTTTGGGGAGCGACCTCCTTCCCCCACTGCTTGCTGCCGAGGCCATGCTCGGACGATCGCGTGGCTTGCGTGGATTTAGGCGGCTCAGCACGGCAAGTGGGGTGAGGGTGAGCACCACTAGCCCTGCGATGGAGTGGTTTGAGTCACAGCTCGACCGTGGTTTTGTGTATGGCAACCAGCCAGACCTCGCCGAGATGAGCGTCACGGGGAGGCGCCTTCAGGAGGCGGGCGATTTGGAGGGCGCCGCGTCGCTGATTGGCGAGGCGGTGTCGAGCTTCAAGGCGCGTCTCGGTCCGCAGCACCCCGACACGCTCACCTCGATGAGCAACCTCGGCTCACTACTGCAAACACTGGGCGATCACACATCCGCTTCCGACCAGTACTGCAAGGTCGTCGCCGGCCGGCGAGCGTGCTTTGGCGACGAGCACCCAGCCACATTGGCTGCGCTGAACCAGCTCGGCGTCTGCCTCGCACGCGACTTGTGCTGCCTTGACGGGGGCGCGCCTGCGCTGCGAGAAGCTCTCGCCGGCCGGCGGTCCACTCTCGGGGCGCGGCACCCCGACACGCTGTGCTCCATCAGGAACGTGGGCGCCCTGCTGTACGCCTTTGGCAACCTCCAGGGCGCGGCGCCGCTTTACCGCGAGGCGCTCGCGGGATGCCGGGAGGTGTATGGACGAAACGACCCGCACACGGTGCGCTCGGCCCTCGCCTTTGGCCTGCTCCTAAAGGCGTGGGGGCGAGCAAACGCGGAGGCCGAGGCCTGCCTGGAGGAGGCGTTGGCGGGCTGCCGCGCCACAGGCCCTTGGCCACTGGCAGGGTGTCCAGCGACGTTCCTCGCCTTGAGCTCGCTCGCCGAACTGTTGGAGGCGCGCGGGGAGCTGCAAGCAGCTCTGCCGCTGCTCGCCGAATCTGTCGAGTGCGCCGCGGTCTATTACGGCGCGCACCACGAGGAGACGCAACAATGCGCCGCCGCTTTCATGCGGCTCCTGCAGCGGGTCGGTCGGTCGGACCAGGCCGAGACCGTCCGGGGTGACTATGACGTGTCCGAGTACCGTGTCTCTCCGAGCCCGTGGTCGAAGGTCTCCGGCGAGGCTTAGAGCGGCCCAGCTGGGTGTTGGGAGCATGTCCCCCCGTGTCGTGTGGTGGTGTGGCAGCGGTGCCGCTCTCCCGTCTCGCGGGAACAGGGGTGTTATGGGCGGTATGGGGCGCGCTTCCGCTTGTGTGCAGCCAGACGTCGGGCAGCCGCGCGCCGGTCGACAGCCCCCGAGGCCGCACAGTATCAAAACTATTTATTGTGCCTGTAATTTTATTTTTGTGGGCATATAAAAAGAAAGAAAACAGACAACCCAAGGGAGGGATGGGAGGACGGCACGCGGTCACCACACAACATGCACACATGGACATGTTGCTCTTTAGTGCCGCGCGTACAATTTTTCTTTTTTGTCAGCGAGGATGACGAATCCGAGAGGAACCTTTTTTGTGTTTCGTGTGAAGTACGACCCAGCGCTGACTTCTGATTGTCGTTGCTGTCTCTCTCTTCTCCACGACAGTCTGTGCTTGTGCTCTGGGGGGAGGCGAGGGCCCTAGGGGGTACCCATGCGGGGGGGAGATGGGGTCCCCCAGCCCGCCGCAGGCGCCGTGGCATTTTTTCTTTTTCGCGCATTTTTTTACTTTTCATGGGAATTCGGCGTACTTGCGGCCATGCTATCACGCCTTGCGACATCCTTTCGGCGCTGCTGACCGTGCCATGCTGCTCAACTGACCGCCTGCATAGCTCGCGGCCTTAGTCTTCGGCATTCAGTGACGACCTGATCGTACGGCCAGTAGGAAGGTGTCCTTCCAGCGCGTGCACGCTTCTGACGCAATGCGCGTCACAAACTGCCTCGGATTGGCTGCTGGCACTCTCGAGGCTATGCCTACACAGCCTCGCGCGCATGGGCAGTCAAGAGGGACCACGCACCTTCTCAGGACAGCGCCGGTGCCTCTCTCTTGGACCGGCAAACGTGGTGGTCTCGTGTCACCAATGTGGGACCAGTGCGGCATCGCGCCATCGACAGCTCTGAACTGCGCCTCACCACTGACCGGGAAGGCCGCCAAGTGGGTCAGCACCGGTCGCACATTGTGGCAGCAGTCAGCAGCGCATGTCTGATAGCTAGAGCAGCAGCGTCAGGGTCGCAGGGTCGGATCGTGTCAAGCCTCTCGCCCGGCCGGCCGTGTGCAGACGTCGGCCTGTCTGCTGTCTGGAGTGATCTGTCGGCGGTCAGTACGACCGATCAGGTTGGAAGTTTCTTATGGTTAGAGGGTCTATCTGTATGTACTCCTCGAGATCTCTCCAAATCTGCCCTCTGATCAACCGTGATCATTCGGGAAGTCGGTGCTAGTAGAGACTAGTAGAGCCGTGGAGCCCCGTTTTTCCACACTGCTGCGCGGCGCACGGTGCCTCCGGGGGCCCCCGCCTCCCCCCAGAGTGCTTGTGCGTCTTGGGTTTGTGTTTGTGATTGTGTGTGAACTCCTGAGAAGGCAGGTTGCATCAGATCACAGATGTCGAGGAGTGAGACGCGCAGGGAGGACGGAGAGCATTGCTAGAAATCGTACTAAACTCTGTGTCGAGCGGGAGCTCGGTCAGGGTGGTAAAGAGATGTAGGACCGTCCTTAGGTCCGCCTCTCACACCCTCATCCCGATCCACTACGTTTCGTTTCATTAGGAAAAGAATTTTACGATCCACTCCACGATCCACTCCAAGTGGATCGTGAAATCACCACCAAGCTCCCTCCACCCCAAAGAAAAGAATTTTAGCACGCGAAATTTTACCACAAAGCTCCCTCGCACCACACTGGGCACGGGACTGGCGTGCACTGTTAGGAAAAGAAACGCATGGTTCCCGCTTATCACTGGCAGTCTCTCGCCAGGGCAGGGCTAGAATGATGGGAGTCCCCCCTCTACTCGGAGCTACAACAGTGGAGCTACACAACACGCCCGACTCTGCGGGCGAGGACGGCTTCCGGGGACGAAGCAGAGACGAACCCAGACCGGTAACGCATGAGCAGAGCAGCCCTATCGCCGGCGGACGCGCAGCAGAGGCCGCGCCCGCGGCGCAGCGCCCCCGCGCCTGTGGCTCACCCAGAAGCGCTCTTTGTTGCCAAAAACTTTGTGCAAGAAGCAAAATCGAGCGGCGACGGGCGACGGTGTACGCGCTGGTTCCAAAAGCTGGCTGGCAGTGAGAGGTATCAAAGATGCGCTGTGGCGCTCGGAATGACCTGCGCTTCACACTGAAGCCCCCCACGCTAGCGCAAAGCCGCGTACCGACCATGTCAACCAATCACGCACGCGACGCCTACGAGCTCTCAGCAATCGCGCCGAGCGCGGCGTGGCCGCTCCTTTCGCGCACCAGCCGGCAAACTTGAGCACCACCCCCGGCAGAGACGCGTCGTGTGGCGATTCCAACGGCGGCGCGCCAAAAGCAAACCGCTTCAGCGCGTGTGCTTTTGGCGCTTCGTGCCGCCCACCCCGGCCGCCTTCTTGACGGCGTCGGCGAGCGCGCGCACGGCCGCCGCCGTCTCGAGCCAATCGAGGCACCTACAGCGAGACGCATTCGGGCAGTGGGGGCGCGACATGCCCCTCGGCCGCGATTGGCCCCGCGCGAGTCGACGGCACGGCTCTCCGACCGACAAGCCGTGGATTAGCGGCTCGCCTACACGGCACACTCCAAAGCTCAGGGAGGCGGCGCCACTCACATGTACATGTGACTCCGCCGCAAGCAGCGCGCTCTCCTCCGAGCCGCGCCGGCTGGTGGCCCGAGAGGAGGTGCGACGAGAGGGAGACGCCGCGCACTGCGGGGGCTTTGCCCTCGCCGACGAGCGCGGCAATCTCGCGCAAATACTGCG